CATTGTAAGTCATGTGGAAATCATGAATGACTGTGAACGTATTATTGACACAACGTGTCTTCTCTGCCATGCTATGTTTTTATCAACAAAGAATGTCAATATGTCAAACACTATATGTCACTATGTGAAATACTGTCATATTAATTGTGATAAGTTCCGACAAACTTTATGCAATTGTTTGTCATATGATATTGACGTATTTATCGGGGGAGTGAAAGTTTATTGTGAAAAAGAAAATTAATTTTTTGTCTTGACATTTCGAGAAGTTTTATCCTACATTTATAGATAAAGTATATATAAAATGAAAATCGTTTATATTTATTTTACATTTGAATTTGACAAATTTTACTTCAGATAACATCTTTTTCATTTTGACGTAAATTATTTTGTGGTGATAAAGCAAATTCTCAGCTTTTCGCTTGACTTTTATAAAAGAAATTCCATATCTGAACGAATTAAATCTTAGGTTGGATATTTACAAAGACAAGTTGCATGTTTACTTACTTATCTTGCACACACACACACACACACACACACACACACACACACATATATATATATATATATATATATATATATATATATATATATATATATATAGAAGGAAAACTTTCATGTGCTGCCACTTATCAGCGTATCGTCGTTTCTGTTAGGCAGAGTTGTTCCCCTTGTCCTTGACTCGCGTACGGGTGTATACCATATATGCGAAACTTGCTTATGTTGCATCATAGAAAGACTACAACCCATTCAATTCTATTTAAGTACTTATTCAACATTGCAAAAATACTTGTAAGTTTTGATTGATGAATATGAGCATTTTGGTAAAGTGTACATATATAATATTAAAAGAGAACAGTTTTCCGAGATAGAATAGTATATTCCACCAAAATTTCTTTAAATTTGATAAAGCCAACAAAAGAGGGAAATTTTAGTTAAAATATTTTTTATGATAGTGGCAAGGAACCGAACACAGTAACAGGGAAATAGGAAGTTGCATCCAATCGGACGACATGCAGGGCATACAGTAACTCGCTACTCAAGGACAACCGTTCGTAACCCGCTTGATAACATATCTATGGCTTCTGTATTGATATTGTCAACTTCTCATCATGCAGTTGCTCAGTTCACTCAATGCAATTTTTGAGGATATAAAGAGAGGGTTAAAGATTGTCCCTGTAGTAAATAATTTGGTTAAATCGATTCGGCTCATTTCATCTGTTTATTTCATTAGTTTATAGCATTTTAAAAGTTTCGTTTATTTTCACAAATTCTATCTTAATAAGTAGGTACATGTTTCTTGTTATAAATAAGTTTAAATTTATAAATTTTAAACTTTTAATGTAACACATGTACCAACATTTTTGTAGTGTACTGATAAAACAGTGTTTCATCGATACACTTGATAAATTATTTCTGATAAATATAATAGTTTTGATTTCAGTTGAATTTATACAATATAAGATTTGATACGGTAATTTTTAAAGACAGTGGAAGTAAAAATTTATAATCGTTCCTCAGACATGAATATAAAATCAATCAGGTCCAAATTAAGCCCCTACCCCGATTAGACCTTAAGAGGTTTAATGATATAAATATAAACTTAATATTAACCAAATAGGAGCAATGTTGTCTAACAGTTATTTAATACACCATTCATAAACAAGCGTCAAACATCTAATACCACTTCATCAAGTATAGCATTATAGCATATTAGTCCAGAGGTATTTTATGTTAACTGAGTTACTATGTCTTCATTGTTTTCACTCATACTATGGCAGTGTAGGCTTTGACGCAGTATTGTGATATTAATATTCCACTACTACAACTTAGATGCTTTCATTATACAGTAACAGATGATACGAAGAATTTCCAAATAGATTGTATTTTATTCAAAGGAAAGTTGTTAAGATGTAAGCATATGACTAACCACAGATTACAAATTTCAAGTGGCCAAAGACATTTCTGTTAGAATTCATACAACATAATTGGGGATAAACCAGTTTTGAACGGCTTGGTTTAAAATTGACAAAGTATAAGTTAAGGTTTGCAGCAAAATAATATGCAATCCACCAAGCTCTAAAAATCGATTATCTTTATTACTAATGGCCTTTTTAAAAAATATAATGTTTCTGAAATGCATAAAATATTACAATAGGTGGGATAACCCCTTGGGCTAAGTTACACTTGTAATTATCAAAAGTTATGGAATAAAACAAGCTAAATTTTCTCCGTGATGAAACTATGATCGCGACGTTATCGACACATTAACTTATCAGACCATCGCCATAAAAAGGTATACTGCCGGTGAAACAATTCCGAACATCATATAAACGTGCTTTTAATGTCTGACGTTTAGTAGACCCACAAAATTGACGCCTGCTTTGGTTTCCAGTGAAACTAGAACTCCAGGCACACTGTGTCATTTTCAAATGATAGTCGGTGCATAACGTTTCAATTCAAAGTAAGGCTAGGACTGCTATAGTGCTCTTTGACTCCTCAATAGCCGTCAGAAGAATTAAAGATAAGGCTATGGTGTAAGAAATTCATTCACAGCCATCTGATTTTTAGATATCAAAATGTCTAACGTATAAAGGAGGTTAATATAAAGCAATCATAAGTTTACTAGTCACCTAACACATTTAAGTAAAACCCTCGTCGACTTTATTTTCTTGTCACATAGATTGTTATCATTGTGGGTCTGTTGTATTAAATTTAGTACATTTTACAGGTATTTCTGCAAAAGTAGATGAAAGAACAACGTAAAATGAACCAGAATATCCATTAAATAATGTAAGAATATTGAAATGCAATAATTAATAAGATGAAAACAGTAAAAATTAAATTTAAATAGCAAGTCTGATTGTATGTTTAATACAGAATTCTTATTTAGTTTCAAACAAATTTATACCCTTTCCAGGGTGTTTCCTCTGTTTGACAAGACATTGCATCATTGCAATTGTATAACATGCTCTTCTGGGAGTGAAAATGAGGCTACATTCCTTTTGATTTCTATCGCGTAACTTCCGGGCAGAGTTCTAATTGGTTTTGTAGATCTTCAATCAATCACTACATCTTCGTTTGTGTTGCGAAAGGGCTTGAATCTGCTCCAACTCGCTAGATATTAGATTCTTTATTTTCTTGTTTACAGTGGTATCGTTTAGTGATAAACATGTCTTTTTTTTCCCTTGTCATAGAACCTAGTTTCATTAAATGAATCTGTGATTTATGGAATAGCTGCTACAGAGTAATAATTGGTCGGTATCTTTTTTTCTGTATTTCCTTCAGATAAGATAAAAACAAATATTAGTAGAAACTGGGTACTTTTAAGTAAGCCAACTGTTTTTGGGACGGCATATATAGTCTGCCAAATTGTGGGTGAATTAACATTGTCTTCAACACTGCACAATTTACCAACACAGACAGTGCTACAACATAACCAAGCTTTCTTAAAATTATTCTGCCACTCAAATCATTTACCATATCTGATGAATTTTGAAATGTCGAATAGAAACAGTGCTGTATCCGATTCTTGACCTAAATTCGAACAACCTTAACAGTAATGCTTACGGAACATTATCATAACAAACTTATATACCGAAATATGCATCGAAACATATCAAAAGTTTGACTACTGAAACATTTTCTTATGTATGAATAAATCCTACTGGATAACTACCTAGTGGCCAGGCTATCTACCTAGTGTCAGGGCTATCTACCTAGTGTCAAGGCCACAAACAAAGAAATTTACTCTCTGTTTAGGTACATCTCATTCAATGATCATCATAGGTAAAAAAAAAATCCTATTACTTATACTCATTGTCTGCAAATGTCAAAATCTTCCCACAATGAATAAAAAGGTGTAAAGAGAAAATCTTTATATATAAATGAATTTTTTGTTCTAATTTTGTGGTCAAAGGCATGAATAACTTAATCCCTTATAAAAAAAATCATCCAAAGCATCCTATGGAGAAAATTACTGTTGATCAACAATTCTTAGCTAAGAAATAATTAATTCTATGAATTATTAATCAATAAGCACAAAAGCGAAACAAAACTGGTGTCAATGATAAAAACGTCGACCTTAATTGCAACTGAACATATTTCTTTTTTAAACATTATGAAAATAGATTTACTCTAACGTATTGTATATTTCTTGTTAAATCTGCCATAATTTTCAACTGTATCTTAATTATCAAATTAAGCTATCATTAAACGGTAGAGACCAATTGCCTTTTTTTGGTATTGATTTTTTTTTTTACAATATGGAATAGCGAACCTTACTATACGTATGTTTCAAAATAATAAAATATATATATATATATATATATATTACAGTTATTGAATCGGACTCGGAAACCAAAAAAGCATTGCAATTGTTTCCGGGTTATCGGGAGATCGCTGACCCTTTCTCAATATACAACGATGCTTTCAATTAATTCAGTGATACTATTCAATAATGATAAAAGTCTCTTTTTCCGCACAATAGTATATTGCAGAGCACCTGTGGGGGGTATTAGAGATAATATATAGGCAGTGCGAGTTATCAAGTAGCTATTAACTTCATGCAGAAACCACCTTAAGATTTTGATTCAAAAGCATGTATATTCAGAGAAAAAAAATATTACCGGTAATATGTTCGTCGACGAGACATTTCCTATTTAACGATTACTAACAACATTAATTAAGTTTTTGTGGAGAAAGTCAGTTTCAATTGAAAAGTTAACACTTTATTCAAACATGTGTAAAACATATTACAAAATAGTTTCATAAATGCGGATAGTAGTGAACTGTAAATGTTTTATTTCTCTCAAAAGCCGTAGTTAATAAGTTAATAGTTAATAAAAGTTTTATTAACTATTAGTATTATTTTTTTAAGTTAATAAACATGATTATTGTTTTTGCAACCACGCATTTTTTCTAGATAATTGCATCACAAAGTTTGATACTGCACTTGCGTTACTATAAAAGTTTTGAAAAATAGAAAAGATGACATGGTTTACCTTATTTTAGGGTGTCGTCAGTCCTGTCTTGTGTATTTCCAGGGAAAATCAAGATAATGGTTGAAAAAAGTGCAATGGGATCGATCTATGAGTTCTGAAAAATTGGAAAAAAGAAAATATTAAATCCGATCCGAGTTCCTTTTTTGTCGAAGATCCCCGATGTCACGTAATATGGTTAATGAATTCTAGCTTTGCTTTATACATTCCATTCTACAAAGCTTCATACCAAATGCTGATTGATCGACTGAGAAAATATCCGATATTGGGTCCCAATTCTTTTACACTAAAACGCTCACGCTGAGTTCATGAAAGGTAAGTATTCATGTACTTTAATTTTCAAGCCGACATTTCTTTAGAATCACTGTCAGTCCCTCGATCAATTTCTCTTTATTGCCAATTTTAGTTTCATATTAGATACTTGATTTATGTTGATGTTTGAGATTTCCAGGTTTTTAACCAAATGATTTGATATTCCGACTGAAGTAAGGATTTACACTTACTGGACACGATACAAAATGTAACAATGCGAGTCAATACTAGGTGCAATAGAACCAAAAAAAATGATACAAAACAAAAGGAATGGAAAAAACACCACAAACCACTAGCAAAATATACAAAATTCAAAATAGAAGTATAACATCATATACAAATGCAAAAATAATGTAGTGTCAAAAGTAAATCTAAATTACTTCCATAATTTAAAGAAAAAATCTTCATTAAGAAGAAAATAATGAAACACCATTAACAGAATATAATATAAAAAAAAAAACAACCAAATATAGGCTTCACATGAGTATTTATTGATAAGACTGTATGTAATGATGATTAAACAAATATAGACGTCACATTAGTACCGTAAATAACTTTTTATTCGCGAGAAATTTATTTTCGGTTAATTACGCGAGTCTGCTCGCGAAAATTTTATTCTCAGTTTATTTGTATTGCTAAGGATTATATAAAATAGAAACCACAGCTCGCGATCATTTAGTCTCGCTTATGAATACCGAATATATATCTCGCAAAAATAAGGTGTTGCGAAAATATAGTGATCTACAGTATGATCCTGGTATTCGTAAGATTGTAAGTAATCTATAATGATTAATCAGTGTTATTCTTGACTAATTACTGCAGAAACACTTTCTAACTAAAACTTAAAACATTTCTCTTGTATTCCGGGGAAGCTATGAACTTTAATAATCTCTTTTCTTAATCAATTTCAGAGAGAAAAAAATCATTATTTGGAAAAAGCTAGAATTATTCACCTCAAGTGTGTGGCTCACCGTATTCCAGAGATGAAAATCTCTTTGTGTCGTGAATTATTGGTTAAAACCTCAAATCTGTCTGAGAAAACTGACATAGTGAATTAAGATGCATTACTTTATAACTACAAAGCATGCAATGAAACTGTCTCATTAAAACCTTCTTAATACAAAACGGTTTTCTTTAATCATATTTAATTCCAATTCATAATAACTCAAAATGTAAAATTAGTATTCCACATGTATTATTTCGTAGTAAAATATACAATGACTGCAAATATGGTGTTGTTTCTTAAATAAATTCCAGTATGCACTTGAGAAGTTTGTTCACCAAATAAACTTGGAACTGATACTTGAAAAGGAAGTAGCTGCTACATTGTAGAATTCCAATGCCCGATATCACGTTAGGAGTTTGAACTCAAAATGACGTTTGAGAAATTACTTTTTGCCTCCCTATTTTCATGTAATTGTCTCTGATTTGTCCGACATAGAATCATTATTTAGTCAATTGTTTTGTGTCATTAGTTGTTTAATTCAGAACTGTGTGAATCAGTTTTTTTTAAATAGACATGTTTTACTTATAACCTGTATGATACACCGTTACACACAGTAACAAGGTGAAAATACAATAGTAGTACATTTATACTTGCTAGTATCAGATATTCCTAAGTAAACTGATAAGCTATAGAGGGAAAACCTTTTCCCCATTAATAATGAATTTATTTACGGCTCTTTTTCCGCGAAACAAATCTAGTTTATTCTTTTTTATTACTGTTTTGTTTGGGGAACATTTTTCCCAAGTAAAAAATATCATAATCCTGCACGCATCTGTAACAGCGCTGTAATTTGCTGCGAATAAGTTGTTAAGAATATTAGCACTGGACAGATTAAAACTATGGTTTATGACAAATTCGGTAGTCCTACAGAGATTGCTCAGATTTGTAAAAGATAAAGGCGAAATGAACATGACAGATACCGGTACATAATTCTACTTTGGCACTGTTAACAAGACATGTCTAGACTAAATAAGATTTACATATTAGGATCTGATTTTATTATACATAGTATACTGTAAACAATTGTTTTTAATGTGGAATCTCTAGCCATCTTTTGGGCTCAAGTCGAACAAAATATTCTGTTTTAGAGTTAATATACCTATCTGTTTTTGTAGCCTATAAAGTACACGTTTTTCCAGTATATATAATATATACTAGTATATGAATTATTAATATTTTCAATGACTAACGGTTGTCGGTTGTTTGCTCTACATCTCTGATCACCCTCTTTGTTATAATGTTGTAAATTTTGAATTTCCCATGGTATGAAATATAGAGATAACGAACAGTAATCAAGCCCAAAAATTCATTGAAATAAAAATCGGAGGCAGCGCAAACATCAAACGTCTAAAAACATCAGTGGCGGGACTAGGTGCTCTCGGAGGAGCAAGCATCCCCCGCCGACGGGCCACACCCGACGTGCGCTCCCTGTCATGATAGGGAGAACGAAAAAGCCAGTGTGTGAATAATGGCCTAACAATTTGCATGAAAAACGTTAGCCAGCAATCGACTCAATAACAGACCCAGATGAGACCGCCGACATCCTTGCCCCATCAACACGCCTGTTAACAGCTTGCCTCGCTCCGCCTGCAGGCAGAGCATGCCCCCGCGCCCCAAACCAACTGGTAGACACAGATTCCACATGCAGGCAACAAGGGTACACTGCTACTTATACCATTAACGTCTTTTTCTAATAAAATATTTAAACATGAAACAAACGTGTCGGACCCCGTGGCATCTTCCATGTCAAGCCCACTGGGACACAACACGAACGGAAACAACCATCGTCATCCGAAAACGCGTCGATGATATATCTAAATGTTGAGCCGAAATCCACAGCAAGTGCCCTCCTCTTCTCATGTATAGATCTCCAAACAAACTCCGCCCCATATGAATACAAAAAACAGGTTCTCCAACAAAGGGGCGCAATCGTACCAATGGATAACACAAAAGTCTGGTCTTCAGGATCGGCAGGGATTCGAATCCGCGACGAAGAAACGAGCTCCTGAGACTCTAGCTTTGCAGTCTAACAATTGCGCCACGCAGTTGACCCTAGACTATGACTGATAGTATAAAATTAGAAAATAAATTGAAGAAAATATAATAACACTGGGCGAAAGAAACATCAAAGTCAAGATGAAAAAAAAGAAAAGTTAGGATGCATATAATGTTCAGAAAACAAAGACAAGGATAGATTCATTCAGTAACACCAAAAGATTATAGCAATGCCAGCCATACTTCCGGAAAGAATCCATTGTAAAGACAAATATCAAACCTGCTTCTCTAACGTTAAAGATTTCAGTTATCACTAAATGTGAATTACATCGACTATGATGGATTCGAACCACTCATTCAATATCAGAGAGTCGCTAGCTCTGAGCTTAATTATTTAATGCTTAAAATAGTCTGATAAAATTATCAATATTGTAAATTTTTAATGAGATTCTTGTTTGCCTTTCCATATTGGAGACGTGTCTTCACGTAATACGGCTCCGTAACTCTCGATTCCTATTGTGAATCGATCGCAAAAACTAATCCTCATCTACTTCCTAATGTGCCATTTTCTTCTAATATGCAGCACAGCGACGTGTAAGTCTGGCAATATCCCTCAATACAAATGTGACGAAAGATTTATCTCCAGCTCAGCTAATGATACAAGGGAATGGAAATTATGATAGGCGATCACACATGGGTGAATGCCAGAATACCACATCAAATTCCAGTTTCCGGTAATACAATTTCGTTTTTTCAACCAAATTACAAATCGCCAGTAGTCATCAAGAGGAGCAAATCCCTGCTGACGATATTAAGAGAAATCAGGTGTTGTCCATTTTGACATCCACCTACTTATCATTTTTGACTTGTGAAGTAAAATATAGATCCCAAGCCTCGCGTCTCTTGAAAATTAAAAAAAAAGAAGTTTGAGAAAAAAAAACGGGTACTAACGAACACTGGTTATGGTCTCTCCCATTATACGAACATGGACTGATACATTTTAGGATCACTTTGAAACTGAGAAAAGCAGCCAATCAAATTCTTCCTAAGTACAAGTAACAATCAGGTGTTTTATAACATTTTATAAACACAAAAAGAACAACTGGGGTGGGGTGGTTGTGGAGGGTGATTAAACACAGTTGATAATGAGAGAACATCAAATAATTTTTATTCGTCTAATACCTCGTTTTAATTCAACAAAGGAGTGAAATATTGTTTTCTGAAAAATGCATTTATACTGGTCTTTGTTAGCTCAGAAGTAACAATATTTAAGTTATGTTGCAAAATTTCTTGCACCGAAAGGGTGATAATCTGAAACAAAATTCATATCATACTTTTCTGAATCATTAGGTTATTAAGTGTTTCTGTTACATTTTACATAAAAGTTGTTTGATTAAAAATGAAATCGATATAAAATCGATTTCCTTCAAAAATGACAAATTGTTCAATTCGTTATATGGTACATATACTTGTAAGGGCAGCGTTGATCTAGGCCAATGGCAGAATACACAACAGTTGTTTTAGTAATAAATAACTTGAGTTGTCAAATGTCAAGGATCCAAAAAGTTGCATAGAAAATTTTGATATAAAACTTGTATGATAATAAGATCGATATTATGTTTATGACTGCATCATACCAATTTGAAAGTGACTACTAACTTATTTCCTAATTTCCGAAGTCATTGATTGGTGTTGTCTTGCTAAATCATGAGGGAAAAAATTATCATGGAACACTTTTCTCATTAAACAAATAATCTACATTCTATAGGAAGAATGTTGACCAA